CCTGCAATCTTCTACAATTTCAATCACATGCACATGCATTTCCACTGAAACCCGTGGTCCAACAGGGCTTGTGCCCACACACACACACACACACACACAGAGCCACACAGAGACCCTGGTATCAGGTGCGATGCACGGCCAGGCACGCCTTTCGGGAGAGTACTCGAGCCGGACTTTCATTCCTGCCATGCGCTCATCCACCAGCTTCCTGCCATAGATGCAAAATAGCTCCATACAGTACAGGCCCAGACGGTACAAACCGCCAGGTCACCTTACAAGGCCAACGCTTTCTAGAGCCAGCTGCTTGATGTCCTGAAGCAGCTTTGGCGAGCCACGCCAAGAAGCCAAGAAGCTCAGTTCTTCATCTCTTGACATCTTAAGATTAAGAGCCTGCCGGCCCTTTTTGAACACAACTCGCCGTTGCCTCGCAACATGGCAGTGGATTTTCAACTTCAGAAACACCTGCAGATGCGCCGCCAGTGAGACCAAACAGTGATTGAGTGCCCGCGTTCCTCACCCACAATGCTCAGGATTGGGCAATTCAGAGGTTGAGTTGTAGACGTGTATCCTCAGCGATCGGCATCCATGTCGACATCATCATAATATGAAAGCGAAGCAGGTCAACAATTTTGTTGCTCAGGATCATCATCCAACATGCAACTGCCTTCGTCTTCCCTAGTGCGCTCAAGAGCCCTTGTGGGTAGCAGTAATGAGTGAAGACTTCGCACAGGACGAGACCATACAAAAAGGACGACTACAACTTCAGCAGACGGATTGTAGCACATTGTAGACTCCCTGTGCGGACGGGCAATACTGAGGAAGATTGTAGCACTGTAAAGGGAAAGGGACAGAGTACACTCTTTCGATTTGGATTCGCCACCCCCCGCTTCGTGGAACCGCAAAGGTTTGGAATGCAACGGCGTCGCTCCAGGGCTTCTTCCGCTTTCCCCTCACATTTCGATCCCGAATCGTAGAACCAGAAGCCCCAGGCAGGTCTCACTGAGCATAGCAGAAGGGCCGGAGAGAGAGAGTGGCAGAGGAGTCAGAGCCAGAGCATCAGGGCCGAGGTTGCTGCACGACGTTCTTGGCACCTTTCACACCTTCTGCAGCAAGGGTTCTCTGCGGACAGCCCAGAGCGCTAGGCCCCAGCCCGAGCCAGGCCTTCAATGGTCCGCAATATCAGAGGCTCACGGCACTGCGTGAGAACCTGCCACGCAAGATCCCACAAAGCCAGTTGCAAAGTTGCTCTGCAAAGAGGCCAAATCCCCAAACCAGCAATCCACAGCTGGGTAATACGGGGCTACATTCCCGCTACCTCTTGTTTACCCCCCCTCCTGACACATGTGCAACTGAAGCCCCGGAGGGAGATACAGCATGCCAACTGGGTCATGGAAGAAAAATGCAGCGATGCAAAGCCACCGCACGTCATGCTAAGTGAACTCTGAGTATCCGCTTCTTCTTTCGTCGTGAGCTGACGGCCTGAATCCACACGTCGTCCGGAATCAAACCCTCGTCAATGATGTAGCCTTATGGCACTCGTGGCTTATGGTTGCGTTGAGAATGCAGCGCCTTCGATTCACACTTGGCAGGACACTGCGCCTCGCCCTGATGTCACAAGCTACAAGGCCGAGAAGCCCTGCAAGGCACGGTCCTTTCCCAAATCCGCAGCCCTTGCCGACCGCTCTACGACACCTGGTGGACCTTTTCTTTTGTGGCCCTGGAAGAACGAAAGTAGCAACCACCAGAAGTCTTGCGACGCGTTGCGAAGCAATACGAAGCATTGCGAGCTAGGCAACGAATGAAGTCAAAGTCCGTTTGGCTTGCAGCAGGGAAGCCGACCTCTGCCGGCTGCTGAAGCAAGAAATCGAGGGTGATTTGCGCGCGCCTCGATCTCTTTGTAGCCCAGCTTCAACAAATGGAGGAATAAACGCAACCTTACTGCACGTACACCGAGCTTGGACGACAAAAGGCAGAAGCTTCGCTGTCCTGCCACACGGATTTGAGTTGACGGCTTCTTCTCGTGGTTCATGGGGTTGATCAATGCCTGCACGGAAACGGCAAGACCTTTGGGAAGCTGGAGTGCCGGGAGCGCCGCAGGGGAGCGGATGTCGCGACGGCCTGATTGCCGTCGCGAAGGTCGACCGTGCACCAGCGCGGTGCCTGCATGGATCCAGACACACGTGGCGGTGCTAAATGCAAAACCAGTTGCCTTGGTCACTCGCTTCTCTGGCCAAGTACGTTTGGGCCTCTCCAGTGATGCGTCTTCATGCGTGTGAGCCGCTTTCCGGCACAACATTAAGCCGATTAGGCACTGCCCGGCAGAGATGACCAAGAGCACAACAGACTTCAATTCTCGTTCGAACTTGAGTCACATACATGCTGAACCAGCTTCGAGATATACTCTGTCACACTCACGTCACAACAGGAACAGAAAGAAGAGCACGTTCAAGTGCACATGATTGCACGGTTCGATCCACTACCATCACCGCAAGTGCAACAGAGAAGATAAGCAGGGCGGGGTTGCCACTTGTCATCGAAAGGAATCTGGTACCTTGCAAGCCCACCCTGTGACAGGCACGTTATGTTGCTGGGCTTGTGTGCATTCAGGAGCCAGACCAGTTCTGAAAGCTTCGGTACTTCTCCACCTGACACGACAAACCGACTGCAATACGCGTAGGCAAAAAAATCAAAGAGACATCTGCATTTGGAAATTTCGCACATCGATCAAACAAGAAGTGGTTTTGCACCCTGCGTCCCGACTACTGCACACCGGGCAACCTTCATTCGAGGAAGGCGCTCTTCAATTCGTGGTTTCTTGACCACCTGGCTTTATGCACGTTCTGGACATTATGACACATGACAACTCGGCCAGCCTTGGTGTCGCCATTCGCATCTGCCTGGCCAAAGCTCAAGATCGCTTTGTTAACGAGGGCGTCTGTGCAGTTGTGTTTCGCTGGGATCACGGCTGTCATGGCTCCCAGCCTCTGGAGTGCCATTTGTCTGCACTCTGCATGCTTGTTTCAACTGCCTATGTGTGCCCAAGGCCACCGCCAGCTGCGCAGAAACGGCAATCATCTACAGCTTGTCAACCCAATTAAGCCATCAGATTGAGCAAGCGGGACATTGAAATGGCGCTGCTCGACAAGTCGAACCATAGCAACAGCACAGGTGAGGAGTTGAATATCATTCCAAGCAACCTGCACCGCAGGAACAGCTACCTCACAGACTCAACCGCGCTACGGAGTATCGTGCGGACAGCCTGGACCCGCCAGGATTTAGCGTGGGGACATGCTGACACCATCGCGCTGGTGAGTCTGCGCCCTGCTGCCTCAACGAAGCGACTAGAGTGATTAAAGGAAGTGACCGCTAAGGGCAATCCAAACAGCGGTCCGGAATAGATCTGGTAAGCCGGCTCTTGCCACTCGTGGTGGTAAAACGCCAGCACGCAGGCCAGAGCTTGCTCCCGGGGCATAGGGCAATGTAAGCATCGGGCGAATCCTCGCCACCAGCTATAGACGACTAAACCACCCGATGATAGACGGCATGCAGTATGCCATACTAGAAACGATGGATGGGCGGATGAACGACAAGGACGGATCAGCGGCATGTGGTACCGTCCCTCTCGTGCTCGCAGGAAAGCCTTCCTAATAAGGTGTTGTCAAATCTCCGGCACGATTCACAGCACAGAAAGAGACTGGCTTCCTGAAAGAACCAATCAGTAGCCTTACGGGACAGGTCATTATTGTCTTCTCGTTTGCAACGCAAGGCCCTCCCGCCTTTGCATCCCTTGCATACCTTACCCTCTCCTCCCGCCCCCGGCTGCTTAAGTTTCAACACCGCGCCCCACGGATTCTTCTGGAGAGGGACAGAGGTGGGGGTGGGGGGAAGGAAAGGTGAGGGGGGTGAGGGGGGGAAGGGCATCTTTCAGGTCACGGTAGTCAGTGTGTGGTGGGGTTGGGGGGTGGGGGAGGGCGCAGCTTGCTCTATCCTTCACGGGCCGCCAAACACCGCAAACGTCGACCCGCCCAGGCAAGATGGCGAGCGGTCCATGAAGAACGGCTTGAACTCAATGGCCCAAGCGTCTCGAGGCCAGTCCATCCTGAAGTATGTCTGTGGCTTGCGATCCAAATTGCCTGGCACAAGTTGCCTGAGGTAGCCCGGAGCTTGGAGGTATGCTGGTGGCCCGAACACATCTGCGGAGATGTCCCGAGCTCCATTTTTATTCCCGCCTCCTCGATGTGATCTCCAAATCCTTCAACAGATTTACGACTCCGGTAACACTGCAATGCCGGATCACACCGGATAAGCAAAAAAGGAGGAGCTACTGCAGATGTGTACTTTCCTCCTCTGCTGGGTTAAAAATATGGCGGCGCGCTGCATTGCACAATGCTCACTTTTTTTCTGCTCACTGCAGAAGTACGACACGTTTTAATCTTATTTGGACGGGTGCCTATGCCGTGTTTCAGTTGGCCTGCGGGCGCCACGTCTCTTTCTTGACCTGCCAAAACGCATGCATCATCGCATCGAAGTGAATGCCTTTAACGAAAGTTCATCGCATCCAAGCACCTGCTGCGTTCCAACGGCCGCAGCTTTCGGCGACTGAGGAGATTTCACGGAAGCAGATGCAGGACGGATGCACAGAGAAATCAGCGAGATTTCTTGACGCCAACTTCTAGCTAAACCTGAACTGGCCTATACGCTTGTCAGGGAAAACCTGGGACTCAAGCGGGTCTTGTAACTCTCCACACGATATCTGCCGCAAAGAACCCGAGGACAATCGCCACCTGTCACGGGCATACAGAAACAGGATTTGAATGCATCGCATGGCCCACAACATGGCAGAATCGCCGACACGAGGCAAACAACTGTGAAGTAGCCGAAACGCATGAAGTCTTCCTGGCAGGGTCGGCAGCAACACTCAAAGACATGAAGCACTCAACAGTTCACGAACTGTCCTTGAACTCGACTTCACACGTTGGACCAGAGTAGGGTGATCGACAGAAACAAACTCCGTGACCGCAAATTCCTGGTGAAGCCATAGAGTGGAAGCTCGTTAGAAGGTACTCGAAGTCGTTCGGATTTCGACCTCTTCCAGCAGCACAGGCTGGGTTGCAGCTGCCCGGCTCGGTGATCGAAGTCACGTTTCTCCTGACGGCCATGACAAGCACCTCGTCACCCTACGTTTGGGCTCGTCTCGGCTCCGAGCGCGGGAGCCGCCGCGGCTGATTTCCTGGCTGTTTTCCTGCGTGGGGGACCCGGGCCCAGGGGGCCAAGGGAAGGCAGCACACGGCAGCGCACCGGGCCTTTGACTGCCTGAAATGTGGCAATGCTTTTCCTATGCCCTGGATCCTCGTGCGGTGCTAGGCTCAGATTATTTGCCAGACTGGCAACAGCAAGCAGCAGTGGCCCTCCTTTTCGAAAGGGGACTGCTTTGAGGTGCTTGCATTTTCTCGTGCTAGGAAGGTCTGACCAATCGGGAAGGCTAGACAGATGAGAAACAAGTCTTCCGGCACAGGGCTTGGCTTCTGGTGAGGACGGGACGTAGAGAGGCAACTTCTGGGTATCTTGCAGTACTTCTTCAGGTCACTGTTCGAAGGCATGTTCTGTGTCAAGAGTCTTACACAGGCACTTTTCCGAGCCGTCTCATCTCTGCCAGGAGGGTCTGTGCCTGCAACTGCTTCTGTCTGGAGGAGTCGTGTTGCAATATCCCTGCACCGAGTTGCAGACCTTACGTATCCGGCTCATGAGAACAGCCGACGGATTGGAAGCCCGAAGCCTCCAAGGGTCAAGGCCTGCATCCTCGAGAGAAAGCTTCAGCCACAAGTCGTTTCCAGGATTCTGGCGGCCCTTCATTCAAAATGCGACACTGTAGCCTCGATTGCAAGCTCTGGTCTGCATCCCGCGGCTACCAGTAACAGCCTTCTTGGTGCCAGGCTCAACAGGCAGAGCTCTGAGAGCATTCTCGGCCTGACCCACATGCAACAAAGCTTGTTTTGAAGACCCGGCACTGCCAGATCGCACTGGGCCCGTAACAGAATAGTCCACCGCATGTTGCATGCAGAACTTGGCCACGGGGTCTCCGGCGGCGGCAGCCGCCTCAGCCAAATGCGTGGCGGAAGTCCAGGTGTTGATCGCTGGCGGTCTTTTTGCCACAGCTGTACTTTGAAGCAACCGCTTTTGTTTCTCTCAAGCCGCCTGATCAGCGCACGGCTCGGCTCCGCAAGAACAGCAGCCCGGGGCAGTTTCGGCTCAAAACACGCTGTCACAAGGAAACAAGCAGGCCGAAGTCACGAACCTTGCCGTAGCTCTTGCCGTAGTCTCACAGGCACGACGGCTTCAAAGAGAAGGCGAGTCATGAAAGTTCAAAGCCAGCAAGGCTGGTGCCGCCAACGGACAAACACAAGCTCTCAATCAGATCCAGAACGCGAAAAATGAGAAAGGTCGAGGAGGGACCAGGCACAAGTAGAACAGGCACCGAAAGACAAGGCCCACGTCAAAAACAACAACAAACAAAGCATTCTGTGACGATACGGACGAGGCCACACACTGACGATGAAGAACAGAACAGCCACGATTACCAAAGATTCCAAAAGACAAGGCCAGAGTCAGCTGGCAACAAAAAGCCCTAAAACTGTCTTTTTGAACGCACGGTCGCCACAAAGTAACATGAAGATGCAAAGAACCGCCACCATCAGGAAGGGCACGGAAATAAAATTAAAGGTCCGATTCAGCAAAACAACGATGGTGCCAAATTGGCATCATTACACGGACCTGTCAGCTATGCAGTCAGAAAAGGAACTTTCGATCTAGACAGCAAAGCGAAATGCGATGGCCGTTCAGCGCTCAGGTGCCCTAGACCTCAAGCCCTAAATCTAAATCCTACAGCCACCTACAACTCAAAATCGCTGAAGTTTGTGTGCTTCGAAGTTGGTGTGTTTACTGAATGCAATGCCGCTCACTTTGGGGTGGCTGTGTTTGCGAGTGTCGTGTCTGTTGTCGGCTGTGGCGTTTGCAAACTCGTTTGGTGATTTCGGCGCTTGTTTTCTGACTGTCGCTGCTCAGCCAGCAGAACACGACGTCCTGTAACCTCGGGTGGCGGCCACAGTTTCCGGACGAGGTCGATGTAGCCCAGCAGCTGCCGCACTGGCCTTGTGCAGAGATTCTTGGCTTTGGGTTTGGCTGTGATGCATCTCGTTCCTCTGAGCTGTGCACGCCGGCATTGTTTTCGACCTGAGAGAACGTCGTGCTCTGTAGGACCCGACAACATTCTCGAGTCTCATTCCTTCACTACGGCTAAGGCTGCAATTGCCCTGCAAACCCCTCGATGCCCTTCTCACCCTTCTCCCTTGGTCTGTTGACTCGTGTTATGAGCAGGATGAATAAGGGAAAGTGGTTCGACCGAACCAGACCGGGCAACCAATGCAAGCAGATTGGGTCCCGCAGCTTCTCCGGAGTGTCACTGGTAGCAGACCCGCAGACCGACACTTAGACGGCATGTAACCACAGCTCGCAAAATGCTGCACACACAACATGTCTTGTTTTCCCGACTCAAACGATGCCAAGATAGCGGCAATCATTCAACAGGCCTACTTGTTTGCACAAGCCACGCACGGCCATATCTACAGACTTTCTGACAGTTTGAAACAGTTGGGGTGAAAGCGAATCGATGACACATGCTATGCCAATGCGCTTATTGTGCGTTATTCAACGCCTCATTAGCGCAGGCCAGCACTTTGGTCTCATTCTGTTGGGCGCTGGAAACAGGGCTAGACGAAGTGCGTTTTTCCGGCACTCGGCAGCAGAAAGTCCTGATTCGGCGCCTGCATGCAATGTATGTGCTTTCAACTCACCTCCAACGCAATAGCAAGATTTGGTAACTAAAGGCCTTGCGATTGAAGCTGACACCACCAATCAGCGCTGCAAGCACGAACAGCCCAAATCCCAGCGCGATGACAGTTTTGGAAGCACCACCCTGGAAGACAGAGGAAGGGCCGGCAAGCAGTCCGCTGTAGCTCGCGATGAGCTCCTCATCTTCACTCCACTGGGACATCCACTGAAGCTCTTCCTTCTTCATTGTTGCAAGAGGAATCTCTGCTTTAGTGTCCTTCACAGGGTCAGGGACAGAGCCACAGACGTGCCTACAGGCTCGGGCCGTGGCCCTGCCATGCCGCAATGCCCTGCCATGCCCGGCCTTGGCATGGGCTTCCATCTCATCATCTGAGGCGAGATAGCCATCGCCGAACTGCGTGGGCGAGAGCGACTGGGCAGCCCCGGACTTGTGAGGAAAGGAGCAATCACGAGGGAAGACGTAGTGAAGCCACTGCGCAAAGAGCCGACCATGGATCGGAACCCTGCCGCCATGGGCTTTAGCGATGGAGTGGAGCTGCGAAACCAAGGATTCATCCAAGTGCACATCGACCTGAAAGAGAGATCTCAAGAAGATTTCAGACACTCTTCGGAGATTAGGCCAACTGCCGTCAAGGAGCTTCGTCCTCCAACGTCGTCAGGCTTGTCATGTTGCCCACAAGAGAGAGCATGAAGTCCGGATCTGCCAGAGGGCCTTCAACAGCCGCCTCGATCTCTTCCATAATCGGCTCGCACTCGTTGATGCAGCACACAGAGTAGTGAGAGGCAGTAACGATGCCTTGCAATGCTGCGAGCACCACGCACACGTGCAGCTTCGATCGAAACCATGTGGTTGCTACAGTACTCACAGGTAGCGGGCGAGACTAGGTTGGGCTGGACAACAAAAGATGTCAACATCCCCTCTCCAAGGCAAGGCACAATTTGAGGCACCCTGGATGTAATTTGAGATGATCACCTGCTTTCCCAGCCAGGATGTCTCATCCAAAGCTCCCAGCTCCCCTCGGCTCATCTTGCAATGGCCAGAGCATGCCAGAGCTTGGAAAAAACACATGCACAAGCACATTGAAGGCCTTCTCATCTCTGCTTGTCAAGCTTCGAAGATATGACTCTGACTCACCGAAACGCCATTCAGCGTCCGTGAGGGACTTGCCATAGAACTTAGACAGAGGCACGCGGCCCGTTCGCCGCTTGTCCAAGCTCACGAGCTTCTGCTTCATTGCCCGACACCTGGGGTAAAACAGCTGGAGCAAGGCTGGGAACATATCATGGCTGCATCAACAACACAGGATGGCTTCCAAGGCACTCGGATTCCCAGTAGGATGCGAATGACTTTGTGATACCACCTGCTGAGAATGTGAGAGCGACAGAGTGGCAAATGCGTTCAATCGCTGAGCACTTAACTTATAGAGGTGGCACTGTCAGATATCTCTGCTCATTTGCACCTCTGGCGACAACTACCGCGCCTACAACGGTGTGTGCATCGGTGAAGGAATAACCTCACACGACGATCATCGACGAATGGATTTGCGACCGGGCCCAAGCTGCCAAAGGCCAAGGAGCGTTTGAGCAGAGCGTTGCCTCCAGACTGGACGTTGACCTTCGGGTCGCTCTCGCGGAGGTAGTTCAAAGCCTGTCGCTCGCTCTGGCCCGCTCTGGCACATGCCCACACTCCTCTGAAACGACATGTAAGGCGGATGCCGAGATCTGGCCACTCGCGAAGAGCAGAAGCTGGTCCCAATGAGGGAAGACCTGCTCAAGTCTTGTTTGGGTCGCCAATTTTCGAGTTCATCTCTGCAAGAACAGACCTGAATTTTGCACTGCGCCTGCCCGAGCTCTCGGTTGTTCCCCAGCCTCGATGCGCAAAGTTGCAGCTGAGCAACCAAGGCCGTCTTCCTGGGGTCAAAGCAAGGGAACGATGTCGTCACCTGCCATCCACACCGCGATGTACGCCTGGCCAAAGGAGACTTCAAGAGGATGCGACTTCCACTGCCCATCACGAGAAAGTGCCTCTAAGAGTTGCCGGAGACCCTGCTCGGAGAGCGGCCGTGATAGTGGCTTGTGCTGCAAGTTGAAGACCTACCCAGCAACATTCACACCCTATGTAGGTGTAGAAGAGCACCGGTGCGAGTTCGGTCCAATTTTGCTCGCCGCGACCACGGAGTCTGCGCAGGCCTAACTCAGCCAATTCATGTGCCCCGGCTCCCCAGACGCTGCGCTGCTCATCGCCCAATCGCCCGTGTCTGCATTTCTGTACGCAGCAGCACAGGTGCGACAGTCGCGGCGGCGCTCCCTTGATTGCCGCGCAATCAACACGGCTCCTTGGCTTGCTCGACACGAAAGCCCTGTCACAACACAACGTGTCTCCTTCAATAGACTTTACTGAATCTGAAGCATCCTATACTTGTTCTGTTATGTTTTCAAACCTGCACATTGGGCTCGCCTGGGCCTAGATTGGAGAGATGCTCTGCGATTCTGATGACTCGTCGGCTTAAACGTCGCCTGGGTTTCCCTTGCAGTGCCCTAAAGAGCTTTTCTGCAGATTGTTGTGTTCTGTTGGCTTTTCGCTTTGCTCCTTGACTCTATCTTGCAGCGAAGGGGCAGCTTTTATTCTTCTGGGCGGCTCCGAGTAGTAGGCCTCGACCTCGACCAAACTGTCACACACAAGCAAAGTGTGCAATCGTCTCTCTGCGGGTCAGAAGAAGAAACTAAACCGGGAGACTGTAAAGGAGACAACTGTACCCTTGCGTCTGCTTGCGTGAGACCGAGAAAGCAGGTGATCACGGGCGTGTGCAGACTAATCGTCTGCCGTTCGCAGAAGCAAACCGGTTCATGCGAGCGGGCTGGGGGCGGAACCCCAGCAGGCTCCAGTTCGTCGAAGTGAAAGATGAGGTTCGGAGTCCTCGGGGGGGCTATGGCACTCTGCCACAAGCTCAGTGCTTGTTGCGGCAATTCACGCGTGTGCCTGTGGCTTTCTTCAGAGCGGCGCGTGAATGAAGATGTCTGGAAGGGCCCCCCCCTGCTCCAATCCGCTCGTCCGACAATTCCGCATGAATAAAATGGCCTGCTGCCGCGATTGACATTCCTCAATGAATTTGAACTTAAACCTTGAGACGAAGGTCACCGATTCTCTCGTCTATCGTACTCTGGTTCTGGTTTCCGAAGGCCCGTAACCTGGTGCCCCCCACATTCGCGCCAACCCCTGTCTGTCTTAATGCGTGTGTCTCTGACTACGTTTTCAGATGGTTGAAACTCCGCACAGACCTTGCAGGCTCCGTCACCGACGGAGCTTCGGCTTCATTAATCTGCGCTTCGGCTCCGAGCCTGAGCCTAGGTTGGCTTCCGAAGACATGACCCCGCCCATCCCGGCCCGCAACTTGGTGGAAACATGGACAGCAGCTAAGAGTCCTGTAGCAGCAGCATGTGCACAGTTTTTCCGTGTCCGGATCTTCGCACCGGTGAATGCTTAACTTCCCTGGGCGCACACGTCGCAGCAGGCCGCGTCCGGCGACAGCACCAGCCGCCAGCCTTCCTTCATCCGGTCAGAAAGGCATGCCACCGTCATGGCCTCATCTCGGATTGGGCTCAAACCAATGAATCAACAATAAGTCGTCTCTCCACCCGGGCCTTGTGCAATTTTCCATCCGAGTCCTGCAGGCTTCGCTCAAGAGACCATCGATTTGGAAATGTACAAGAGTTCGTTGTGAAAAGCAACCTTATCCTTGGCAGTGTCCTTGATCACCTGCTCGTGAGGGCTAACCAAACATTCCGCCAGCTGAACTCCATCTGCTTTTGAGACGTGCCCTGTCGCAGAAAGCAGCGCAGGGCCGACCAACAGCAACGATGCCCGAGACCCACCTTCGAAATTTCAGTCGAGGCTCCAAGCAGACGGTACTCCTTTTCGTGTACTGGTCGAACGGCTACAATTACTTGCCCACCGTTTCCAAGATGGTCGGTGATCCTTGCAGAATCTGCAACGGTGCCGGCAAGATGTGAGATACCCGCGCGCAACGGCAGTCAGAGATCCTTCCTGATACTGTAGACTTCTGCCGAGACTCGCGTTAATCATCCTATTTTGCCTGTCGCTCCTCTGCGAGCCTTGGCACCGGAAAAGATTCATATTGGGCGTTCGGTAAACACCACAGCCCCTTTTGAGCAGAGGACTCCATTCGAGACTTCGGCTTTCCAGGTCCAGATGACCTCCTTGATAGCAGGCCTGGGAATGGGAAGGCCCGTCAAGGGCGACCAGGGGTACTTCCGTTGCTGGAAAGTGGCCAACATGTTTCCCCCTCGTCTCTGCGGTGCGCATTTGGGCGCGTTTCGAAACCTGGAGTTTATACGGAAACAACGAGAGCAAGCCATGGATGTGCACGTGGCTATGGGCAGCTGACAGAATCAGCACGTCATCCTTCGCCAACCCTCTGGCCTGAGTTCAAACGAATGCTCGGTTTTCTCGAAAGGATGCCTCCACTCTCAGGCTTGTGACCTTTGCATTTGGGGCAGCTCCTCTCGAAGTGTCAGATCTTGAAGCAGCAAGCCTTACTTAGGTCCTAACTTAGGTTACTTGTCGCACCGGTGTGACCGTCACAGGTCCTGCATTGGTGTCTGTCGAAGCTCGTGCAGCTTCTCCTGAAGCCTGTTGGAGAACTCCATGCGGGAGTGCGTGCTGCGGCACCCCCTGCCTCCGGTCTGATGCCCACTATACCAGTTCCAAGGGCACCAAAGCAAACATCCCACGCTGTGGCCATGACCTTCCGGTGTTCAGAAGGCCCTGTCTGCTTTGCAACGAGGGGACCGTGCAGAAACTGTCAGAAAGGCCTGGTCGACGAAGCCCGACTCAGTACCAGACCCAAAATGAATCAAGCACTGCAGACATACACAGCAGTGTGGCTGAACATGTTTTTGGCGATCTGAGCGAAATACCTGATGAACGTAGAATTTCTTCTCCCAGGTCCCGGCCTCAATGCTGCAGCATGTCTGCATCGGCTACACTTTGCCACTGTCCATGGTTTGACGGCACTCTGGTTTGAGATCAGGGATCCGCGTTCGGGAAGCTTGAGGGGCCGGAACAGTGGGCCATGCGTTTGTCTAAGCAAGTCTGGGCACATGAACAGGCGTAAACCTGACAGATAGCCTCGATCCCGGGTGTATGGGCCTCAGGCCTGCTCCCCTGATTCTTTACGACACCGCTTCCTCGCAGCTGCCAGGAACTTTCGCCAGTTCTCCATGCTGCAGCAGACTCTGGACTGCATGCCAAGGTCCTCTGAGCAGCATCTTCGTCCAACTCCCTGTCCAAACAATGACGTCTGCTCTTTGATACACACTTACTATTCCGTGACACCATGCTGTCAGCTGTCAAGCCGAGCATCTTCTTGACCTTCACCTTTGTGGCTCTAGTCTTCGCCTTCGCTTTTGCCTTGGTCTAGGTTCTAGGTGTCAGCTTTCAACACTACTCTGCCGACCGGGAATGTTTACATGCATTGCATGCGCGAGCGCAAACCCAGCAGGTAGCCTCAAGACCCCGAGCATGTGAGCCTCGGGCGCTCTGCTTGTCCGTTTTTCGGCGCACCAGCTTCCTCGCAGCTGCAGCCATGCTTTCAGACGATGTCACTCTTTGCACCACAAAAAAACATGTCTAACCTGCATGCCAAGGTCTTCTGAGCGGCATCTTCATCCAACTCCCTGTCCCAACAAGGACATGTGCAGTTTGATCTCCAGTTCCGTGAAGCTGTTTGCTTTGTCAAGCCGAGCATCTTCTTGACCTTGACCTTTGGAGACGCTTTGGCTTTGGCGGTTTTGGCTTTCACCTTCGCCTTAGCCTTGGCCTTGGCCTTGGCTTTGGCCTTGGCTTTGGCCTGGACCTTGGCCTTGGCATTGGCCCTCTCCCGCTTGGCGAAGCCTCCTGCATTGGTCTTCGCCTTCTCTTTCCTTTTTGGCTTTTCCTGTCCCGGTGAGGCTGCTCATGCTCGACAAAAACGATGTGGCTTTGCCTCAGGCTCCTTCTTGACCCTCCTCTTCCTCGTATCCTGCAAATAGCAAATGGCAGCGCTGGTTCCGGGAAAGCCATCGAGCACTCTTACCGTACCTGTACCTTGTAAGCAGTGGCTCTTAGCGATAGTTACATCAGGCTCGTGTACAACGAGTCGGCGCCATCCAATTTAAAGCTCGCGCAGACCTCCTCTACGCCACACTCGACCAAGGCAGGCGGAAAATCGATTTTGTATCCCAGCTCGGCCTCCTCCGCCTCTCTTTGTGCATCCGCTTCGTTGATGGCCTTTGCCTGGTACTTGTTGCTGCGCGCAAATCATAGCAAGCCCCTTGCGGTTCACTTGGAACATACGAGGAGCCTTGGCAAACATTTTCACCAGGCTGGCCGTAGCGGACTGACAAAGCAGGCGGTGATTAGTCTGCCCTTGTCAGAAGTCACTGAGTGCGTCGCCATGCTCTTCGCATCGCTTGTAGATGGTGCCATGAAGCTTTCAAGATCTGTTGTATGGTTCTGGCTTTGCAACTGGCTATCGGCATTGCACGTTTTGAAACATGCTCAGGGTGTGCTGCAAGCTGACTGAGACAGGTCGGATGCAACAACAAATGAATAAAAACGACACCCGCAACCCTGAGCCGAAACGTAACAGCATTCATACAGCTGCTCGGCCTGCTCGTGGCATCTTTATCCTGCTCTCTCTTTCCACAGGCTACGGGCAAGCCCTCTTCATGCTGGCGCCTGTCATGTCCTCTCTCTTTCTCTCTCGAAGCCCTCTTTGTCGCTGCAAGTATGCTCCTCCCGCCTTCTCCAAGAGGGCGCTCTCCGAGTCGAAAATGAGCTGTTCCAGCGTCGCGACCTCGAATGGAGAGTGGTGGAGCGGCCATGCGGGTGCACTTGACCGAACCACGAAGCACAAGCAAAGAGGAAGCCGAGAAGCCATGTAAGCAGCATCTCGTAAATCAAATCCGCTCTCCGCTACGTGGCTTGAATGCAGCACCGACTCCACAAATCCAGGCACCTTCGGGCGCAGCATACGCACCGCTTTTTTGGAACTGACACACATGATCACACATGCGTTGCGGGCACCTGTTCACTAAGAATATCGGCAGCACCCCATGTCGATTCATTGACGAGGCGAGTTGGCCTGCAGTCTGTCGCATCAGCACTGCATCCGCCCACCAAGAGCAAATAACAAAACATACGTTGGATGGCTGGATGCTATCCAAGGCTCTCAAAGCCTCGGAGCACCAAAGCCGACCGTCGATGAAAATAGCGGTACACAAGATACCTCTCCAGCACGCAAAACAAGAGAGTTTGTTCAGCGCTTTTGTCACTGCGTGTCATGCAGGAGACTGCCAATCTGCCTTTTTTAAATCTTGCAAAAAGGAGATCTGGCTGTCAACGGGAGCTGCCGTTGCACTGAAGAGGCACAAAGAAAAAAAGAAAAAGTGTAACAAAAACACGAGGGTTTGGGCCCCACGCACCAAAAAAACATCGAATGTCCCTGATAGGCATGACGTTCGTATACTGTTGCTTTTCCGCATTTTGTGATGCGCAGTGAGCAGTGGACATGTTGTCTAAGTTTCGTAGTTGGTTCGCGAGTGAGCAGAGATTAGCGACTTCACCGTGCCACGCATGTTTGATCCCTGGATCCGCTGCGACCGCGGAACCCCTCGTGCAACAAGCGGTGAAGGCGTGCTGCGTTCATTCCCTCTCCAGCAATCTCCAGCCGTAGCAATCGCTAGTCTCGAGCTCCAACCACATGACCCCCAACAGCGCACGCGCCGTTGGAAGCTTACTACGAAAGCGATCCAAACCACACATCATGTGGGACCCACCCAAAGTCTCTCTCCAGTCCATCCTTTTCTGTCCCCTGCCTCCACTTCACTTGACACAGCTTTGTGGCAACACTCGGTGTCAAGGAAAGAACAGCGGCTTTAACCAGAAGCATTGCCTTGAGCCGTTGGGACTACGGCATTGCTCGTTAACGAACTCTTCCAGCCTCAGCGATCTTCTCTCAAGACGCCCGTTGCTGTTCTTCGGCAGTGTGACAAACATCTTGCGCAGATCCTCCAGGCATTGCGATGCCAACAGCCCAGCCCCCAGCCATTGCCAATCCGTACGCCCCGTGCCTCTTCTGTCGCCTGCAGGTGCTCCTCGGTGACCTCCCCGCCGCAGCCCAGCGCCTCTGCAGAAAAAGAACTTGTTCCCAACCGGAAGACCGATGAAAACATAACCCTGCGGGTGCTGGTGGCCTCATCCATGGCATTTCGGACCTCCGACTTGAAGGCTTCTGCATCCAGGCTGCGGGCCTGGAAGCTGCTTGGTGTCAAGCACTGCGCCAGAAGCGCCAGAAGCGCCCGAAGCGCCCGAAGCGCAAGTGCGAAACCATGCCAGCTCCGCTCGCAGACCCTTCTTCTCAACGAGAAAGCCATCAGCACGCCCGTCCACTGAAAAGGGACAAATGGCTACCTTTCGCAGGACAGGAAGAGATCTGAGATCTGAGGAATCTGACAATCTGAGCCTGTATCAATGCAAGAAGCGACCATCCGCCTGGAGCCATGGCCTGAACAAGAAAACCTCTAAGAGGTGGACTCGCTCCCAAGCTGAGCTTGCAGCCTTAGATTGTAAAGTCCGTAGTTAATGTGGAACCACGCGCAAACCTCAGGTTGCACAGCATGGTCCAGAGCACAGCCCTGCATGATACATGTGATTTCAGACCTCTGAGGTTCAACACGTGGAGAGAGAGTTGGGGTTTCGATCTCGCGGAGCACTATAGTGCTTCTAGGCTCTTCTCTTGAGCCGAAATTAAGGAACAAGAAATTTCTGAATTTTCCGCACTGGGCATGCCGGCTCGACCGGGAGCTGTGGGTTTAGGCCACTGGCCTTGCGTATCCGACCCATCAGCACAGCTGATGGATTCAAGCCAGCAATGGAGCCTGCTCACGAATCTCTTCAACAAGGTTGGTTAGGATCGCAAGACAAGGGCGGAATTGGGCAAAACGTAGACACCAAGCCAGGGTCAGGCCCGTCCTTCTGCCATCACGGCTTGTTGCAGATGTGCTGGCCTCAGATGTGCTCATGCTCTGAGTTCGCACGGAGTTCGCCCACTCTGTGGCAACGGCAGTGCTCTGAGCGCTTGCTCAGAGTTCTGGTCAGCCCCTGCAGAGCGGCAGAAGACGCCGATGACCTGCACGGAGTCTCCACGGACACCATGAGCGGACGCTCCAATGAAGCATTCCGAGCACCCCACGTCGCTGGCACCCACAGCTGCTGGCACGATACTGGTCACCAGGGCCAGAGGCGCACCAAATCCGGAGCTGGTCACAAGTGCCGTCTCTTTCTTCGGCTTTTCCGGCGTGTCTGAGCCTTAGGCGACACATGAGCCTGCTTCAGCTGCCACTGAGAAAGTCTTCCAAAAGCAGCCGGCCAGAGGACTCGTCATCTTTGGACCTGCACACTGCACAACTGTGTAAACATCAGCCTGCGGCGGAACCGACGCAAAGCACAAAAGGTCCGAGACTGGAGTGGCTGGGGCTGCAGTGGGGGAACCCCGAGGCTCCGCCATGCCGAAACTCAGACCGGAGCCGGCTACGCTCGGAGCGCCGTCGCTTCTCCCGCCGCTCCTGCAGAGGTCGCAGCTTTGTTTTCTGCAGGCCGCATGCCAGGCAGGCCTTGCGGTTCTTTTCGCTACTGGAACTGCGGGCATTCTTGAGCTTCTTCTTTGTCTCAGACCTCGGCTCCAGCAATGGATTCGGAACACTAAGACCTCGGTACATTGGACAAGCGGCTGTGGCTTCTTCTTCTCCACCTTGTGATGGCTCGAACAGAACTCTACGATGTTGAAGCTCACAATACCAAATTCTAATGCTTCCAAAACGAGAGGTGCCTTCTTGTCTTTCTCTCTGAGACCTTTGATGGCAGCAAGGAAGGCAAGCTTGTCCTTCTCCTTCTCCTTCTCGATGTCGTCATCACTGTCCTCTTCCTTCCTCTTACCACCATCAGCCTTTGGTCTGGCTTTGGGCTTCTCCTTGCCCTTCTCCTTCTCACGCTCCTTGTCCTTACGCTGTTTGTCCTTCTTGTCTCTTTCAGACTCCTCCCGTTGACGCATGCTGTCGCACCGGAGTTTGATCATACACTCTCGAAAGGTATATAGTGCAAGCGGGACCTTCTTGTCTTTCTTTTCCTTCTCCTTCAGAGCCTCTTTGTCTTTTCTCTTCTCCTCGACAGTACTCAACGCCAAACCATTTCTATCATCAAAGAAAACAACTTGCCAAGAAGACTTCCTTCAGCTTCACGTCAGTTCCCTCTGACGAAGCCTCATTGTGAACAGGCACTTGACTGCAGAGCAGTGTCGAGCCACAGTTTCTCTGCTGAGAGCATGGCCCTGCCCATGACGCGATCACGTGCACCGGCACTGCATGTTTCCCTGCCCTGGCTCGGTTCAAATCCTGCTTCTGCTCAGCCCTCGGCTGTTGACATTGACTAGAAGTGTTAATCGTACGGCCGATTGGGATCTTCGACTCGATGGGGACGGGGATGGGGGGAGCGTAGTCCGTAGCACTTCACGGTTCTTGTAGCAATCTATAGCGATCTGGATGCATCTGCCCGGTTCGGGAGCAACAACGCTGGAGCCACAGCAGATTGCGACAGTCAAACGTCCAGAACACCTCGAAAGTCGATTGTTCACAGCCGACTGAAGCTTGGATGGGCTGACGCTGAAGCCGAATCCTGCCGACGGCCACTCGAGAAAAACTCAACACGACAACCGCTGAACAAGACTAGAAGTCTTCATGACCAGTGAAACCCAGCAAAATGACCGATCTGCAATCCCACCCTCCTGGCACTCTGACGGTTGAGAGTGCACAGCGATAGTGCCTGTAGAAGGGCATGAATACGTGAGACAGTCGCTGATGGAGGATCACGTGGTAGATGTAGCACAAGAACATCCTGGATCCCAGCGCTCAGCGCCGCACCGGTACTGACTTCGTCAATTCCGGCTAGAGTGCTGATGGCGACGGCCTGAAGCTTCAACCGTCTTCAAAAGTCTGCGCATGGTCACTAGCCGCTCATCACTGCGGACCCTGCCAAGTCTGACTCGACGACATGACCATTGAGTGCTTGCCTGCACAACGGGCACAACTTGCAGCTTGAGTTTGCTCAGGTTGAAGCTGTCACAGTGCTCATTGCCTCACTGCAAGTGCGCTGGCTGCCGACACATCGATGACAGACTCGGCATGCAAACATGATCACAGTTGAATTTCCATAAACTGTCCGCCAGTGAGTCTGCCCCCATTATGCCCCTGACCTGTGCTAGGACTGCTCCAGGTGCAGGCCGGAGCTCCACTGTGACTTTGACGTCCTGCTCCTTCCGATTGCAACTGCGTCCGAAGTCCGCAGCACATTGCAGCAAGGACTGGCTGGACCTCAAGCTTGAGGTGGTGCCCCACCTGGAAGGACTTCTGCTTGCCGGACAAATCTTTGTGGAACCGAATCAAGCTGCCTCGGACAAGATCGCCTCCTTCAATGCATGCTCGAATGATCCTTGCAGCTTTGCTTTGCCTGCAAGCCTTGGGGCAGAGTTGCACGGGTCATTCCAACCACGCAGACATTCTTGCACCTACCCTGGCACGATGCAGAGCCCCATGCATGTAATAATCCACCCCACACACGGTTCTCGTGAAGTCAACCTTGCATCGTGCCGGAAGTCACCACTGCTCAAGAAAGGCACGCGAACAAGATTTCCTGAGCTTGAGCGCTGTGGGAGGGCCCATCGAGCCTTCGCCCAAGGGGATGGTGCCCACAGTGGGAGATGCGGCGACCTCTGTATGGAAACGACGAAGACCCGTACAGCCGTACAGTGCAAATCTTTCGCCGAGCTGCCACGACTGCCGGCGCCGGTCCGGGAGCCGGTCCGGGCATGGGACCCGGAGCCGGTGCTGGAGCCGGTGCTGGAGCCGGTGCCAGCGAAAGGACTGGAACGGCGGGTGCCATGGGCGCCCCCAGCGCTCCGTCCACTGGGCCTCGTAGTGCGAAGCTGGGTGCGCTTGCTTCGCAACTGCTCATCTGGGCACCGAACTCAGCACGGGCCCAGCCGACCTCTGCAGTGCCCACTCTCACAGCCCCATAAGTTACAGATGAGTTGGGCCATTCCGGGCTGCATACCGGTCTACCCGAAATCCATCCCGAGCGAGCACCTCAAACTTCAAGTTGGGTCTCTGCTCACATTGCGCCATCTTCGCTAGGCTGTGGACTTCGGATTGCACGTCAGCCTGAACTGCAGCCACCAACCTTGGTTGGCAGGGGATTTTCGAAGCTCTCAGATGCGAGCAAGCCAATGGCCAAGTTGACGGTGGTCTTGGGGCCGCAGCGACGCGATAGCTTTGTTCTCGTTGCTTGATCGCAAGAAACCTGGCAAGACTCAATCTTGCAATCTCTGCAGCCCAAGTTTTGATTCGAAGTACGCGCGAAAGTTCATCTCAGGTCCGGACTCACGGCACCTGCTTGGTACACCTCGGGCATCTGCGCCGCAAAATGCACCAACCATGGCAACTGTTCTGTCAGGGGGCTGCCAAAAGAAGCAGCCAGCCTCCCATATGCTGACCTGTCGCACGCACTTTGCCACATGTTCCACGCACAGAACATCACGGAACATGTGGAGCCTTGCTTACTTCGTTGACTTTCGGGCCGGGATTGGGTCGCAGCATGACGACCCTGCCCAATAAGATCCAACGGAAATGCAACATATGCAATACATGCATATACATGCGCCTGCTAATCCTGAGACATGACAGATTTGCAAACAACACGATTGAATTGGCAGGGGAGCACTGGGACTTTGCGATATCTTGAAAAACTCACAAGCTCTCTCCAACGATGCTTCAGACAACCGGACGATAGCCGGCAGTCTGTAATTTTGTGCTCATTTGTTTGCCAATCTTTTCCGGCCACTGCATGTGCAGATGATTGAAAGTCTGCCAGCATTCTATGTGGGTAGTTGTCTAAATTAAGGTCCCTTTTGGCCCTTTTTATAAGGGTGCCGTATTATAATGGGGACCTTAAAAGGGACCCTAATTTAGAGAACTACCCATGTTGAAAACACAACGTGCCAAAGGGAAATCAACGTCCCGGCCACCATGCTGATATTGAAGACAAAACTTCCATGGCAGACTGCGGCACTGGAGTCTGCATCTGGGCCCACACTGAAATTAAGATTGAATAAGCATCTTCAAAAAGGTCGCGAGTCCGGTGCTGCCAAATATTGCGCGAAAACGCGGAGGGCCAGCAGTTAACGCATCAAGGATACTGGTGAAGCGTACTTGGAATGCCATATGTCTTTTTCGTGGTGTTCAACCATAAATGAACAGATAATGTCTTAGCAACAGCATTTCAATGTATGATGACTATGTAGTTGCTGCGCCTTAAACCCTTGGTCAGCAGGTATATTTCTCATATACGTTTAACCTATTTTGGAAATCTTAGTATTTTGGCTAATCAACATAATCAAATTAACTTCCATGAAAAAAATTAGTTTAGAGATTATCCCATGGTTTATGTTGTCGCAATAAAGTTTTCCTGCAGCATGGCCAAGAAGCAGCTCAGTCCATGGTGATTGTATTGTTTGCCTGGGAAATGATTTATGTAAACGTCCCCATGTTTCGTTTGGGTTTTCTCATTGGGCAAAGCCTGTTCCATGGCCAGGAGACGATGTGAGTGGCAGATATACATGTTTGTTTGCTTTGCCAGCCAGGGCAGTTGTCGTTGGAGGACATGTATATTTGTTGCAATTCTACATTCTTGCCATGTTCCAAGGGCCATCTTCTTTATTTTCAGAACGGGCCACCCTGGGAGTGCCCTGGTTGCGTATTTTACGCGCTCCTAGACACACCAAACACCGATACACATCGACGGATAGTACAACCCATGCAAACGCCGAAAGAGAAATGCAAGAACTACGAAAAATACAAAAGCCAAAACAATTAAAAGAATCAAAAAACCAAAAAAATCGAAAAAAACAAAAACGCCAAAAAAATCAAAAAAATCAAAAAAAACACAAACAAAAAAAAAATGTTTCGAGACTTTGGCCTCATCCATATAGATATTTCTGAGAGTTCTTACATATTGGTTTTTTGGTTTTTTTTATTTTGTTGGTTTTTTGATTTTTTTAGTTTTTTTGGTTCTCTTGCCCTGTCCCTGGTCGTGTTGTTGGTTTTCCGCGCGCGGATACCTGCGCCCAGGGAATCTGCGTGAGGTCGTCCGTCTGTGCCAATCAAGAGAACTTCAAAATTGCATTTTTCCGTGTTGTTGGCTATATATATATATATATTCATTTATTTATTTTCACTGGGAAAGTTTGGCT